GCAACCAGGAGCCACCCACCACTGGCCTGTCAGTGACTGAGGCAGCCAGGAGCCACTCACCACTGGCCGGTCAGTGACTGAGGCAGTCAGGAGCCACCCACCACTGGCCTGTCAGTGACTGAGGCTGCCAGGAACCACCCACCACTGGCCTGTCAGTGACTGAGGCAGCCAGGAGCCACTCACCACTGGCCGGTCAGTGACTGAGGCAGTCAGGAGCCACCCACCACTGGCCTGTCAGTGCCTGAGGCAGCCAGGAGCCACCCACCACTGGCCGGTCAGTGACTGAGGCTGCCAGGAGCCACCCACCACTGGCCGGTCAGTGACTGTGGCAGCCAGGAGCCACTCACCACTGGCCGGTCAGTGACTGAGACTGCCAGGAGCCACCCACCGCTGGCCTGTCAGTGACTGAGGCAGCCAGGAGCCACTCACCACTGGCCGGTCAGTGACTGAGGCAGTCAGGAGCCACTCACCACTTGCCTGTCAGTGACTGAGGCAGCCAGGAGCCACTCACCACTGGCCGGTCAGTGACTGAGGCAGTCATGAGCCACTCACCACTGGCCGGTCAGTGACTGAGGCTGCCAGGAGCCACCCACCACTGGCCTGTCAGTGACTGAGGCAGCCAGGACCCACACACCACTGGCCGATCAGTGACTGAGGCTGCCAGGAGCCACCCACCACTGGTCGCTCAGTGACTGAGGCAGCCAGGAGGCACCCACCACTGGCCGGTCAGCGACTGAGGCTGCCAGGAGCCACCCACCACTGGCCGGTCAGTGACTGAGGCTGCCAGGAGCCACCCACCACTGGCCGGTCAGTGACTGAGGCAGTCAGGAGCCACTCACCACTGGCCGGTCAGTGACTGAGGCAGTCAGGAGCCACTCACCACTGGCCAGTCAGTGACTGAGGCAGCCAGGAGCCACCCACCACTGGCCTGTCAGTGACTGAGGCAGCCAGGACCCACTCACCACTGCCCGATCAGTGACTGAGGCTGCCAGGAGCCACCCACCACTGGCCGGTCAGTGACTGAGGCTGCCAGGAGCCACCCACCACTGGCCGGTCAGTGACTGAGGCTGCCAGGAGCCACCCACCACTGGCCAGTCAGTGACTGAGGCAGTCAGGAGCCACCCACCACTGGCCTGTCAGTGACTGAGGCAGCCAGAAGCCACCCACCACTGGCCGGTCAGTGACTGCGGCAGCCAGGAGCCACCCACCACTGGCCGGTCAGTGACTGAGGCAGCCAGGAGCCACCCACCAATGGCCGGTCAGTGACTGAGGCTGCCAGGAGCCACCCACCACAGGCCGGTCAGTGACTGAGGCTGCCAGGAGCCACCCACCACTGGCCTGTCAGTGACTGAGGCAGCCAGGACCCACTCACCACTGGCCGATCAGTGACTGAGGCTGCCAGTAGCCACCCACCACTGGCCGGTCAGTGACTGAGGCAGCCAGGAGGCACCCACCACTGGCCGGTCAGTGACTGAGGCTGCCAGGAGCCACCCACCACTGGCCGGTCAGTGACTGAGGCTGCCAGGAGCCACCCACCACTGGCCGGTCAGTGACTGAGGCAGTCAGGAGCCACTCACCACTGGCCGGTCAGTGACTGAGGCAGTCAGGAGCCACTCACCACTGGCCAGTCAGTGACTGAGGCAGCCAGGAGGCACCCACCACTGGCCGGTCAGTGACTGAGGCTGCCAGGAGCCACCCACCACTGGCCGGTCAGTGACTGAGGCTGCCAGGAGCCACCCACCACTGGCCGGTCAGTGACTGAGGCTGCCAGGAGCCACCCACCACTGGCCGGTCAGTGACTGAGGCAGTCAGGTCGAGCCACCCACCACTGGCCTGTCAGTGACTGAGGCAGCCAGGAGCCACCCACCACTGGCCGGTCAGTGACTGAGGCTGCCAGGAGCCACCCACCACTGGCCTGTCAGTGACTGATTCAGTAAGGAGCCACTCACCGCTGGCCGATCAGTGACTGAGGCAGCCAGGAGCCACCCACCACTGGCCGGTCAGTGACTGAGGCTGCCAGGAGCCACCCACCACTGGCCGGTCAGTGACTGAGGCTGCCAGGAGCCACCCACCACTGGCCGGTCAGTGACTGAGGCTGCCAGGAGCCACCCACCACTGGCCGGTCAGTGACTGAGGCTGCCAGGAGCCACCCACCACTGGCCGGTCAGTGACTGAGGCAGTCAGGAGCCACCCACCACTAGCCTGTCAGTGACTGAGGCAGCCAGAAGTCACCCACCACTGGCCGGTCAGTGACTGAGGCAGCCAGGAGCCACCCACCACTGGCCGGTCAGTGACTGAGGCAGCCAGGAGCCACCCACCACTGGCCGGTCAGTGACTGAGGCAGCCAGGAGCCACCCACCACTGGCCGGTCAGTGACTGAGGCAGCCAGGAGCCACCCACCACTGGCCGGTCAGTGACTGAGGCAGCCAGGAGCCACTCACCACTGGCCGGTCAGTGACTGAGGCTGCCAGGAGCCACTCACCACTGGCCTGTCAGTGACTGAGGCAGCCAGGAGCCACCCACCACTGGCCGATCACTTGGGTCTGAGTTGTTGCCAGTCAGCTTGCCTGTTGTACCTGAGTGTTATGTGTTATAGTGTAGTGTAACATAGGGAACACCTGTGAGAAGAACAGAAGCAATGACAGAGAAGAACATAGAGCAGTTGGAAGGAGAAGATTAGGAGAGATAGTGACACAGAAATAGCAATGAGATTCAGGAAAAGGAGCGTTAAAAAAACTAAACACAGCTACATGGAATATATCAACATTACTAGAGGCCCAAATGAAAGAGGGGACAGATAAGAAATGCCAACACCATAACAGAGTTGAAGGAGTATACAGAATCGCTTACAAGACATGTGGAGGAGGAGAGAAAGCAAAGAGAAAAGGTGATAGGAGAGCTAAAAGCAGATGCAGCTTCACTTGGAGGACAGTTACAAGGAATCCAAGAAAGGGAGAGAGAGTGAAGATAGAGGGAGTGGAGGTCATTGTGGACCTAAATGGAAACCTTGACAAGAGTGAGGAACTCAGAGTAGCTACCTTGGAGAATCTAGAGCAGTTGAGGGAAATAAATTACAAAAAAAAGGAGATGGAGATGAAAATGGGCATAGGCTTCAGGTTAGAATAAAGTCAAGGGAAGAGTAGGGGAAGGCAACAGAGGAGGCCAGAAGGACAACAAAACATAGAGAATGTAACAGATAAATGTGGAACAAGACCTAACAAAACTGATGTAGCTAAGGGATCAGATGGAAAAAGAGTTCATTAAAGCAACGGTAATAGATGCTGGTAAAAGCCAGCAGGTTGTTAAAAATGTAGTCAGATGCTGGAGAGGGAGAAATCAGTGATAGTATACAATCTGTCAGAGCCAGAGAGAGAAACATGGCATAGGAGAAGAGAAGGTGATCAGAAAGAGATTACAGGAACTCTCACAAGAATACAGACAGACTAGAGAGACATCCAAGGAAATTAGTCATTACTGTAGGCTTGGTATGTTCCAATTAGGAAGGAATCAACCATTGAATATAATCTTCCAGAATAATGTTGCAGCAAAACATATGATATCTGAAAAGTCAAAATTGAGGGACAGACGAACTTACCTTACAGTATTCATTAGCCAAGATATGTCGAAGGAGGATATAATGAAAATCAGAAAGTATGGAGGGTAAATGTCTCAAGAAGACCAGAAAGCAATGAAAGTAGTACACAAGAATGGGAAAGTCAGGCATCAGGGACTCCAGTGCAACAGAATAATTGGTTAAAGCAGCTTGTAGAGACACCCATTCACAGCAAAGGACAGGTGTGACTAAACCAACAAATGCCGCCTCCCCTATCAGAACGCCAATAGAACTGGAACCAATCCTCCTTGGCAGAAATAAAAGCAGTTCAGTAGAGATTAGTGCTATTAATGTATTACAAATAAATGAGTAGAGTTACGGAAAAGAGTGACTGAAGAACAATCACACATTATTGCAATAACAAAAACACAAGAACAAAATTGATGAGTGTTATAGGAAATGCAATCTTTCCATGAGGATATCAAGTAATAAGGAAGGATAGGGTGAGAAGGAGAGGGTGTGGACTAGCCCTACTGCTGCAACCACCAACACTGGATTTTTGAAGAAGTAAAAGTGTCAGAGGAACCTGATCAAAGGAGTAAGTACTAGGAATAGCAACATTTGGAGACATGAAGGTAGTGGTAGCTGTGCTTTACAACCCCCACTAAACAACACAAGGCCTGGGGAAAGAATGTGATAAATGAAATGAGACTTGCCTGGCAAGGAGAGCGAGAGCCAGGATTCTAATACTGGGGATTTCAATCACAGGGAAATAGACTGGATAAGTAAGGACCCCCATGGGAGTGATGAGACATGGAAAGCAAAACTGGTAGATACAGAAGATAAACACTTCTTGAAACCACATATTACAGAACCAAGAAGAGTAAGGAAATATGACTCACCAACGACACTAGACTTGGTGTTTAGCCATAATTAGTTCTTATGAAAACTATATTTTGGTATCAATATTTGCATAAGTTTGTGGGATGTAATTTTCTGACAAATCACACCGTCACCAACTTAACATGTCATTCAACAGGCTTGTTGTGATACGGATGGTTGAGCTGTAAAGGTTTCTTTTGGCATTGTTCTACATCGAAACAATGAACCATAAATGTTCCTTTAATTAAGTGCTGAATGGCTGGGGGATGTTGACGACAAAAATTTATATCAAGACAACATTTTGCTGTCAGGTTTAATGCTGGTAGATGGAATTGTCGTACATTAATGTTTTCTCGTGCTCCAAATAAATCTTCCTCCTCATCACTATCAACAACTATACCTCTAAAATTTGCATGTAAAATAGTATATAATGGAAACTTTCTGCACATGAAAAGCGCTTTCTCCACATCCGACTTTCATATTTCATCATTGCTGTCGCAAAACATTGCAACCAAGACATTCTTTGGCTGTGCATGAAAATGTATTTTGTTTCACTACTTTCAAGGCTGTTTCCTGCACAACGCCACAACCTTATTTTACAACCGAGTTGGGAAATACAGTTGAAAACATAATTGCACCAGAGACTCCAGGTTTGATGATGGTTGATCCAACGACACATAGTATGGAATATCCTGCAGTCAAGGGTCAGCCACCGTCAACGCACAAGTGGACCAGCCTTCAGATATTGCAGATCACTGTCGACTGTTCCCAAAATAATTGCCAAGCTTATCCTGTAAGCGTAGTACTGATCTGTGCTCAGGTCATCAACAACAGACTGTGGCAGCTCTTTAAAGTGGGAGTTTTGACACAAGCTTGAAATAAGCCATTGGCCAATTTGACACATCCCCATTCAAATTTTTCTCAGTATGTTCTTGGAATGAGTCAGGAGTATTGTGGTTCCATTAAGGATCACAAATTCTTGACGGTGTGGAGGTTCGTTGGTATGTAGAAGGCAAATAACTGTTATGATCTCAGCCTGCAGGAGAAACGAGTCTCCCTTCTTGAGAGTTATTCAGCAAGCCTGACCTGATTTGAAGGTCTAGTAAATATTGAGGTGATAACCCATATGTAAAATGGCTGGTTGGATATGTATAACAGTTTGAGATTATGGGCAATGCAGAAGAAAATAGATAAATGACTGGCGAGGAGATGTGGACATTTTGCTGGAGGCGTGAGGCTCGCTTCCGGAGGACCTTGACCTCACTTGAGTGCCAGACATCGCAGGGGAAAGCCGCGCTACATTTGAGCTCCCGCCAGAAGGGAACCCCTAGTGATATATCTCTAAGAGAAGAGAAGTGTGCAGACGTGCCAGCTGTGGAATTGAGCTGAGAACGTTGTGGTGTCAAGTCTTGGACAGCGAGGAGAGTTTAATAAGCTGCTCAGAGGCATTTTCGTGGGCTGTGTGGAGCGCCCTGACCAGACGCCGTCAGAGGGAAAGCGCCCTCGATCAGTTAATCTGTGGTTTGTCCTTTGGGGAAGAAGTTGCTGAGAATTTCGAAGCCAGCAGATGAAGTAGCTGATGAGACTCCAAGGTAGTGGAGCAGAGGACCTCGAGCTGTGAGGAGAAGCAGCAGTGAAGAGGAGTGTCATGTGCTTCTGTAGAGGTGGAGAAGCACCATAGTTACTCGGGGAAACTTCATGGTGTAGCAGCCAAGAGAGCTGTGGAGGACCCTAGCAGAAGGGTGAAGCACCGTAGTTGCTCAAGGAAACTTCATGATAGCAGCCTGGAGGAGCTGCAGAGGATCCTGGTAGTGAAGCCCGGAAGAACCTAAGGATATTAGGGTAGTGAACTTCCAGAGGTGGAAGGGGAAGTTCTGGTGGATTACTTATAGGGAGTTGATAGTGTTTGGTTGTCATTAGCGTGCAAGACGCAGTGAGAGGTGAGTGACTGTTTGCATTCTTATGTCAAGGAGTGATTTATTCTGAAGCTTAGAGTTGCAGTCGTAGGCTTGATTACCTACAGATGTATGTGCTCGAGGACTGACAGTGATCGATTAATCATTGTTGTGTATCAATGAACATTTATACTGATATATGTTATTGCATTCAAATGCTGGTTTTCTATATATACATTATCTTGCTGATAGTGCAACAGTGTATGTAGGCTTGATCAACTTGAGGAGGTTAATAGTATCAGGTGGTGAACCAGGAGATAGGATACCACTTGATAAGCTGATAATAGAGTTCTGATGGTGTTGGAGTGCAACCTGATTGTGATATTATAGAGTATAGGATTCATTATTATTATATGTGTGTAAGTATCGTGTATGTGCTTTGTCCAGTAAATGTGTCACAATTTGCTGGTGTTTGCCCTTGTCCTAGTGAGGCTTCCCAGGAGGTAGTAAAGAAGGAGAGAGAGAGAGAAAGAACCAAGAACCACTGCTGTGGACAGGGTAGGAGGTAATACTAGTAAGTCATAGGGGATTGAGATCATATCTCATAAGGAGAGAGTGGGGAGTCACAGCGGCTCGAGTGGGTGTGTGCACGTGACAACGAGGCTAAGTGTTGGAGCCGCATCCCCTAAACGTGTGACGTTGAGCCCCTCTCCAAGAGCCAGAAGCGCCAAGGGTGATCTCCTAGTATAAGCACTCTGCCGAGTTGTGGGTTGGGTTGTCCATAGAGAATGATCAACGACGACAACACCAACCAACCCACAGTCTATAATATAACCCACTGAAGTGACTTGCCTAACAACCTCTCTAAGCCTCGAATGTAACCATTGTACTTGCCGGTCATAGATGCCACACCGTCAGTACCAACAGTTGCAAGCTCATCGTGTAATTCAGGGCCTTTAAGGAATTAAACATGTCATGTGCGATAGTTCTGATTTTGCCAACATCAGGAGAAAAAGGAGTGAAGTAAGATTCTCCTGGCTTACCAACGACAGTGTAGTGCTCTTCAAGTTGCACTGATCAATATAGTTTTGGGCCCATGGAAAACAGTTTGTGTTGCATCTTTGCGGCCATCTCAGTGACGCGTGTCCACATATTTTAAGTTCTCCTGCTCCTCCTGAGTTTATTCCAACACTGTTCCTGCTCTCTTCGTAGCTTGCTATGATCGATGACAACTGTTATTATTATGAGTTATGAGACCACCATCTTACAACACAATGTGGGAGACTGCAGCTGTTGTCCGGTCTGATATCTTTTCATACAGTCCGTCCTTCTAAGTTTCCCAACGTCAAGAAAACGGTCGATTTAGAGTGTCGTCTCCTAACCTACCAGAGGACCCAAAACAGAAAACGGGCAACTTCTATTTTCTAGTACGACGATTTTTGGTCTTATGTAAAGCATACGATATAAATGCGACGTTCTTTGTAGGAGGACAGGTTGATTCCTGACCATTAAAAGTATATCACTGCAAAGCTTCCGTAGATGATGAGCTTCATCGAGTCTCTATTTCGTAACCACTTGTAACAAGTACTGATCTGCCAAGTATATTTCTTATGGTTATAATGGAATCTTAATTTTATATTAAATATAATTTCCAACTGTCAGAAATAAACAAGAATAATGTTAAAGAAATGATGATTCAAAGGTGATATATAAGAATTTTCCACTTTTAAAAACCTACCAAAATAGCTTTTTGTCAATAACTACTTCCTTGCTTAGAGAAAAGTTCCTTTTAAGACATAGAAACATGAGGTTTCTGTAAGTTTTGAGCCATAAATCATGTCTCTAGCAACAACAGTTGGTGAGTTATGACCGTCTTGGTCTTTTTTACCACCACCCTACCTTCCCCCCCTCCCCCCTCCCCCCCTCCCCTCCCCCCCTCCCCCCCCCCCCCCCCCCCCCCCACGGCAGACGTGTTCAGAGCGGCTGCCGGCCTGAAACTGGTGACAAGGACACAAAGTCAATTGTTTCTTACTTTTAGCATATTTGTTAGGGAATAAGAGGTACACTCTTTTTTAATTAAAATGTTCACTCCAACCTAGTATGTCCAACCACTTGGGCTGGACGGTAGAGCGACGGTCTCGCTTCATGCAAGCCGGCTTTCAATCCCCGATCGTCCAAGTGGTTGGGCACTATTCCTACCTCCCCCTCCCATCTCAAATCCTTATCCTGGTCCCTTCCAAGTGCTATATAGTCGCAATGGCTTGGCTCTTTTCCCTGATAATTCCCTCCTGTCGGAAAATCCGACACCATTTAACAATAATATCATCATACAGATAATAACTGTATTACCAACAAGTTACTCATAGAAAACGTAACTTGTAGAGGAATTACCGTCTATAGAAAACGGGATATCATCACCACATACTATTATAATTCACCAGCTATTCTGCTGGGAATTATTCTTAAATACATTAGTCTTTGGACTTTACCATCATAAAAACATCTTATATAAATTAACTTAATTATCAATATTAAAGTAGAGTAAATGTGACCCTTCTATCACTTTCTGAAATCTGGACAAAGTAGGCCAGGCGTCAGTGGGGAAGGAGGGCAGCCATTGTTGTTATATGAGACCAGAGGCTCACACGGGAGCAAATTCGGCTCCTGTTAAATTTACTTGGACGTAGTGTTATGGAACCCAAAGGTGTACCATTGTCAACACGCTGTCTACAAATACAAGTTAAGTGTCTATCCGAAACCCGTTTATCATTCATTTATGGCCATTAATGTCAGGATATAGGGTTAGCCGGTTAGAACGCGAAATCGCCTCATACTAAAGGTAATTAAGCCAGGTCTTTAATGTTCCATGTACTGTATAGTGTTTTCTCTGATATAGCTTGTCATATATAGGATTCTGGCTTCACAGCTAGCGCACTTTGACAGGTCAAGACGAGGATGCAAGATTATGTGCACCAGTTACTGGGTGATAGAAGCTACCTCAAAGAGGATAATTTGGTGTCTACACTCTAGTTATACCTGGTGGACTAACCTGCTGTACTATAAGAGAAGGAACCTCATCAATGTATGTAGCTATTACAGTAGTTTGATTGGCTGCATATGTGTAATATAAACCCCCCCTAATGTGTAGAGGATCGATTTGTGAGATTAAGAGATTATTGCAGAAATACAGTCCACTTATCATTATACAAATTGCTATCGAAGTATATAAATTAACGTAAATATAAATTCATATAAATTAAATAAATATAAATCTCACAGGTCGGTTCCCACACCTCCCTCCATCCAAGTATATAAGTATCACAGAATAATAATTTTATTATCTCACGATCATTATCAAAATAACGTTTTCCATCTGTACAAAGTCAATACTTACCACTATTATGTTTACAATACACTACACACTAAAACCCCACTTATTAAGTCTATGAGCTGAGATCCTCGTTTAAGTCTACAGACCTTGATTCTTGTTTAAGATTACGGTCTTTTAGGAGCTCTTGTTAACCTCTACAGGTCTCTACAATACTCCTGTTAAAGTCTACAGGTCTCTACAATACTCCTGTTAAAGTCTATTGGAATATTCCCGATAAAGTCAATGCATTACAAACACCATTAAAGTCTATGAGGTCCAAAATTTTCCCAAAGGTTTATGGGCTACGAAGGTCCAGTGAATGTCTGCGGACTCATAAAATTTTCTGTTAAAGTTAGCACACTAAAACTACAACCCGATACTTGCAAATCATTCGACGGTCAGAACATCATTTAAGTCTACAAGACTACAAAATATCCAGTGAAGTCTACGGGCTACAAAAGTCTTCAACCTAAAAAGTCTACGGAAATGTTTCCAATAAAGTCTATACACTATAGACACCAATAAAGTATAGGGGAATCCCAAAATTTCTAAAATAAATAACCTTGCATGTTGAAACACGTGAGGATATGTTGGAGGAGAAAGGAGGGAGAGAGAGGCATCCATCTACACATTGCTCGAGGTCCGCCGCCCTGCGCTGTCATTAGTGTAGCCGGAAGGTCATCACATATATGTGTATGGAAAGTCAATGTGCTGAGACTAGCCATATTGTAAGTCAAATATCTCTTAATCATTTTCAAAGATACTTTGTGTTGATCGCAGTTGAGCACACAACACATCACAGTCAACAGTCAACTCCTTGTCAACCCGACATAGGTGAGGATGGCAACATGGAGGTGACCAACAAGTGTCAGATGCAGAATGCTCTCACTCCCCAGCACTTGCAAAAGCAACACGCACATGTAAGGGAAAATACAGGGAAAGGTAAAGTAATTATCAGGGGAAAACATTGATCCATTATGACTATGTAGCACTTGGAAAGGATAAGGGCAAGGATTTAGGATTGGACCGAGGGAAGGTATGGTGGTATCGACCACTTGGACAGTCGGGGATTGAACGCGGTCCTATAAGAAGTGAGACCGTTTTTCTACCGTCCAGTCCAAGGACAAACCAATAACCTGCCAGGACTTCAGGTAAATAGACCAGGGTTCAGGGTTCGAGGGTTACCTTGAGGCTACCTTGAGGTGCTTCCGGGGCTTAGTGTCCCCGCGGCCCGGTCGTCGACCAGGCCTCCTGGTCGACGACCGTACAGATGGAAAACGGGTTGAGAAAGTAACCAACAGCGTGACGGACACCTTCAGAACCTTCACCAGACTAAACATGTCAGAGATCCATCGTCCTCCCTCTCCTGTAACACCCACTCCTCTCCCCCAATTACTCGACACTTACAGATCATCAACTCCCTCTACCCGTCCATCACACTCACTCACTGCCCCATTGACCATCACTCACACATACTCCCTCCTCCAACATTTTCCTTCGGAACGCCATCACTTATTCCAACACCTCTCCCCCCCCCCCTCGACCTTAAGATTGATATATTTCCCCTCAACCTCCCCTCAGTCCAGTCCACTGCCCCAAAATCACCCACACCCTCTTCTTTTTCACACATCTCAAATCCACTCCTACCTTAACAACAACATTCTTCCTAATCTACTTGAAACGTATTGCTAGACTTGAAAATGTACACCAAGAGGACAGAACAATAATGAAGACTTAGAAGATCTGGTACACCAGTTCTGGTCGACGGCCAAATATAGCATATGAACTCCAAAAAAGGTTGACATGCTATATAAACTGATGGCACCAATGCTGATGTGATAGCATTAGTGGTAACCAGATGAATTGTATGATAAACAATGCAATATTCCCAAGGGAATACAAGACAATGTGAAGGGAAAAGCTTTTGAGAGGAGGAGGAGTGAAGTGAACTATCAGGAGAAAGCTCCAAGCCATTATGACTATATTGCACTTGGAAGGATTAGGATAAGGATTTGGGATTGGATGGCGGGACGGAATAGTGCCCAACACTTGGACAGTCGAGGATCAAACTTCGACCTGCATGAAGCGAGACCGTCCAGCCCAAGTGGTTGGGCAGAGGAGGTGAAATTGTTGCTCTGCAAGTCAAAACAAACTAAATCTCTGAACAGATTTCCTTGTATGAGGTAAACAAATACCAGAAGAGCATCATGGGAATTATTTAGTGTGAGGTGAGAAGTGGTTGTGGCCGTAATCTAGAGCCCTCCAGAGGACCCCAGAGGGCCCCAGAGGACCCCAGAGGACTCCAGAGGACCCCAGAGGACCCCAGAGGACTCCAGAGGACCACAGAGGACTCCAGAGGACCACAGAGGACTCCAGAGGACTCCAGAGGATCCCAGAGGACTCCAGAGGACCCCAGAGGACCCCAGAGGACTCCAGAGGACCCCAGAGGACTCCAGAGGACTCCAGAGGACTCCAGAGGATCCCAGAGGACTCCAGAGGACTCCAGAGGCCCCCAGAGGACTCCAGAGGATCCCAGAGGACTCCAGAGGACCCCAGAGGACTCCAGAGGACCCCAGAGGACTCCAGAGGACCCCAGAGGACTCCAGAGGACTCCAGAGGACCCCAGAGGACTCCAGAGGACTCCAGAGGATCCCAGAGGACTCCAGAGGACCCCAGAGGACCTCAGAGGACCCCAGAGGACTCCAGAGGACCCCAGAGGACTCCAGAGGACCCCAGAGGACCCCAGAGGACTCCAGAGGACCCCAGAGGACTCTAGAGGATCCCAGAGGACCTCAGAGGACCCCAGAGGACCCCAGAGGACCCCAGAGGACCCCAGAGGACCCCAGAGGACCCCAGAGGACCCCAGAGGACCCCAGAGGACCCCAGAGGACCCCAGAGGATCCCAGAGGACCCCAGAGGACCCCAGAGGACCCCAGAGGACTCCAGAGGACCCCAGAGGACCCCAGAGGACTCCAGAGGACCCCAGAGGACTCCAGAGGACTCCAGAGGACCCCAGAGGACTCCAGAGGACTCCAGAGGATCCCAGAGGACTCCAGAGGACCCCAGAGGTCCTCAGAGGACCCCAGAGGACTCCAGAGGACCCCAGAGGACTCCAGAGGACCCCAGAGGACCCCAGAGGACTCCAGAGGACCCCAGAGGACTCCAGAGGATCCCAGAGGACTCCAGAGGACCCCAGAGGACCCCAGAGGACTCCAGAGGACCCCAGAGGACTCCAGAGGACCCCAGAGGACCCCAGAGGACTCCAGAGGACCCCAGAGGACTCCAGAGGATCCCAGAGGACTCCAGAGGACCCCAGAGGACCCCAGAGGACTCCAGAGGACCCCAGAGGACTCCAGAGGACCCCAGAGAACTCCAGAGGGCCCCAGAGGGCCCCAGAGGGCCCCAGAGGACCCCACACAGAACACCAAAAGAACACGAAATTAGGAGCAGGGCCTAAATAAATATGCTTCCATGGGTGGCAGACACAGCAAAGATCCCAGTGACAGGTAACTACAGTTATGGTCAAATTGACTGGGAAACGATGACTCCAAGAGGAGAAGATTAGCACATGGAGCACTAATGTTGTAGAAGTGGTAAAGAGGAGCTTCATGTTATAACATTTCAAGGAGGAAATTAGAAGATGGGGTGGTGACCAACCAGCTAAACTAGACCCGGTCATTACACGGCCTTGGACAACAATGACCAAGAATTAACACTATGAGCCAGTGTCTTTTACTTATCGAGTAAATAGCGACATTGAAGACCATAGAAATATGTAAACAACGGAGTTTAAGGTAAGTCTAATGGAAAGGGAAATAACAGATCAAAGAATTCTGGGAGCGGGATTGCATTGGGAAATCATGGAAAGCAAAGAGATTGTCTATGTAAAGAGAAAATTAAAAGAAGTCGAAGCAAGAGTCATACCATCACTGAGGGATGAGGTAATAACAAACTGCATCAACCGGTGGCTCATCAGGCTGTGCCTGGAGGCAAGGAGACCAAGCAAAAGAACATGGAAGACATAGAAAACACAGGACAGAATTAGATCATGTATACTGAAGACCAGAAACGAAAACACAGAAACTAGGAGAGTGGCACAGAAGCAGCACGAAAATGACACAGAATACTGTGCAAAATCACAGCACAAACTGTTCCTTAGCTTCATCTGGAGATAGATTACTGTGAACGACCAATTGAACAGATTTAACAAAATGGAGGAAGGGCACACAGGGAATGATAAGGAAGTATGTGAAGAACTGAACAAAAACTTACAGTAAGTATTCAAGGTAAGTGCTGACCTGCTAATAGAGCTCAGAGCCTACACCGAACAGGTACTGCTATGGGATAACTTTACTGAAATGGCAGTGAAACCCGAGGAAGAAAGAGAGCAGCTACCAGAACTGGATGGCACAAACGCTTTTGACCAGACGAAATATCGCTAAGGATGCTAGACGAGGCTTGCCGTTTTCTCCAAGTAACAGCTTATTAAATCAAATTATCAAGCCTCGTCCCATGCTTTACCTTTAAGAGTAGAGGAACTCTCAGAACCCGCTACAGGTACACTCCGAGTAATATTTCCAGGAATACTCCTGGAAACCTCAGAGTGGCCGACCCCCTCACAGTGTTCAAGAGAGAACTCGATAAGCACCTTCAAAGGATATTTGATCAACCAGGCTGTGATTCATACGTGAGACTGTGAGCAGCCGCGTCAAACAGCCTGGTTGACCTGACACTCAACCAGGAGGTCAGGTCAGAGACCGGAGACCTTGATCCCCGAAATCCACGCATGGTAAGGTATATTATGATGGGACGGAGAGGGTAGGGTAGATGCAGGGGAAAGAGCGGATAGATGTGAGTGTGAGAAGGATAGGGGCAGGGAACGGAGAGGATAGAGGTGGACGGCAACATTAACTGAAAGATGGCTTAAAAAAAAGGCTTAAGGTGAAAGGTCACAAAGATTGCCACAATAAATAAAAGAACGTAATTAAAAAATGTTTTTCCTAACATCTATTTGTTTTGCCTTTGTCAACGTTCACACAAAAGCAGAAGACAACAGCCAGGCAAAACTGCCTTTGATCCTCCTGGGAAGTGTCATTTGACTTTTGTTTGTGTCTCTTAACCAAGGAGCGCAGTGGCGGGCCGGCCCACGGTGCCTCTCTTTAGTGAAGGAAGGCTGTGGCCTGCCACTCTTGGCCCCTAATGAAGGAAGGCTGTGACCTGCCACTCTTGGCCCCTAATGAAGGAAGGCTGTGGCCTGCCACCCTTGGCCCCTAATGAAGGAAGGCTGTGGCCTGCCACCCTTGGCCCCTAATGAAGGAAGGCTGTGGCCTGCCACTCTTGGCCCCTAATGAAGGAAGGCTGTGACCTGCCACTCTTGGCCCCTAATGAAGGAAGGCTGTGGCCTGCCACTCTTGGCCCCTAATGAAGGAAGGCTGTGACCTGCCACTCTTGGCCCCTAATGAAGGAAGGCTGTGGCCTGCCACTCTTGGCCCGTAATGAAGGAAGGTTGTGACCTGCCACTCTTGGCCCCTAATGAAGGAAGGCTGTGGCCTGCCACCCTTGGCCCCTAATGAAGGAAGGCTGTGGCCTGCCACTCTTGGCCCCTAATGAAGGAAGGATGTGACCTGCCACTCTTGGCCCCTAATGAAGGAAGGCTGTGGCCTGCCACCCTTGGCCCCTAATGAAGGAAGGCTGTGGCCTGCCACTCTTGGCCCCTAATGAAGGAAGGATGTGGCCTGCCACTCTTGGCCCCTAATGAAGGAAGGCTGTGGCCTGCCACCCTTGGCCCCTAATGAAGGAAGGCTGTGGCCTGCCACTCTTGGCCCCTAATGAAGGAAGGATGTGGCCTGCCACTCTTGGCCCCTAATGAAGGAAGGCTGTGGCCTGCCACTCTTGGCCCCTAATGAAGGAAGGCTGTGGCCTGCCACTCTTGGCCCCTAATGAAGGAAGGTTGTGACCTGCCACTCTTGGCCCCTAATGAAGGAAGGCTGGGGCCTGCCACTCTTGGCCCCTAATGAAGGAAGGCTGTGGCCTGCCACTCTTGGCCCCTAATGAAGGAAGGCTGTGACCTGCCACTCTTGGCCCCTAATGAAGGAAGGTTGTGACCTGCCACTCTTGGCCCCTAATGAAGGAAGGTTGTGACCTGCCACTCTTGGCCTCTAATGAAGAAAGGCTGTGGCCTGCCACTCTTGGCCCCTAATGAAGGAAGGTTGTGACCTGCCACTCTTGGCCCCTAATGAAGGAAGGCTGTGGCCTGCCACTCTTGGCCCCTAATGAAGGAAGGCTGTGGCCTGCCACTCTTGGTCCCTAATGAAGGAAGGCTGTGGCCTGCCACTCTTGGCCTCTAATGAAGGAAGGTTGTGACCTGCCACTCTTGGCCTCTAATGAAGGAAGGCTGTGGCCTGCCACTCTTGGCCCCTAATGAAGGAAGGCTGTGACCTGCCACTCTTGGCCCCTAATGAAGGAAGGCTGTGGCCTGCCACTCTTGGTCCCTAATGAAGGAAGGCTGTGGCCTGCCACTCTTGGCCTCTAATGAAGGAAGGTTGTGACCTGCCACTCTTGGCCTCTAATGAAGGAAGGCTGTGGCCTGCCACTCTTTGTGTCTCTAAAAATTAAGTAATAGTCGGACTCTCTTCTTTGTTCAATGCAGAACGAAGCTCCCTGGTGATGTCTGTCTCCCAGCCATGACACCCAGCACGGTGCCATCCTCAGCCACCCAGCACGGTGCCATCCTCAGCCACCCAGCACGGTGCCATCCTCAGCCACCCAGCACGGTACCATCCTCAGTCACCCAGCACGGTGCCATCCTCAGTCACCCAGCACGGTGCCATCCTCAGCCACCCAGCACGGTGCCATCCTCAGCCACCCTGCACGGTGCCATCCTCAGCCACCCAGCACGGAGCCATCCTCAGCCACCCAGCACGGAGCCATCCTCAGCCACCCAGCACGGTGCCATCCTCAGCCACCCAGCACGGTGCCATCCTCAGCCACCCAGCACGGTGCCATCCTCAGCCACCCAGCACGGAGCCATCCTCAGTTACCCAGCACGGTGCCATCCTCAGCCACCCAGCACGGTGCCATCCTCAGTCACCCAGCACGGTGCCATCCTCAGTCACCCAGCACGGTGCCATCCTCAGTCACCCAGCACGGTGCCATCCTCAGTCACCCAGCACGGTGCCATCCTCAGCCACCCAGCACGGTGCCATCCTCAGTCACCCAGTACGGTGCCATCCTCAGCCACCCAGCACGGTGCCATCCTCAGCCACCCAGCACGGTGCCATCCTCAGCCACCCAGCACGGTGCTATCCTCAGTCACCCAGCACGGTGCCATCCTCAGCCACCCAGCACGGTGCCATCCTCAACCACCCAGCACTGTGCCATCCTCAGCCACCCAGCACGGTGCCATCCTCAGTCACCCAGCACGGTGCCATCCTCAACCACCCAGCACGGTGCCATCCTCAACCACCCAGCACGGTGCCATCCTCAACCACCCAGCACGGTGCCATCCTCAGCCACCCAGCACGGTGCCATCCTCAGCCACCCAGCACGGTGCCATCCTCAACCACCCAGCACGGTGCCATCCTCAGTCACCCAGCACGGTGCCATCCTCAGCCACCCAGCACGGTGCCATCCTCAACCACCCAGCACGGTGCCGTCCTCAGCCACCCAGCACGGTGCCATCCTCAGCCACCCAGCACGGTGCCATCCTCAGCCACCCAGCACGGTGCCATCCTCAGCCACCCAGCACGGTGCCATCCTCAGCCACCCAGCACGGTACCATCCTCAGCCACCCAGCACGGTACCATCCTCAGCCACCCAGCACGGTGCCATCCTCAGTCACCCAGCACGGTGCCATCCTCAGCCACCCAGCACGGTGCCATCCTCAGTCACCCAGCACGGTGCCATCCTCAGTCACCCAGCACGGTGCCATCCTCAACCACCCAGCACGGTACCATCCTCAGCCACCCAGCACGGTACCATCCTCAGCCACCCAGCACGGTACCATCCTCAGCCACCCAGCACGGTGCCATCCTCAGCCACCCAGCACGGTGCCATCCTCAGCCACCCAGCACGGTACCATCCTCAGCCACCCAGCACGGTGCCATCCTCAGCCACCCAGCACGGTACCATCCTCAGCCACCCAGCACGGTACCATCCTCAGCCACCCAGCACGGTACCATCCTCAGCCACCCAGCACGGTACCATCCTCAGCCACCCAGCACGGTACCATCCTCATTCCGGAGCAGTCGACCGTTTCGTGGTACAATAGTCCGCTACTCCTCAGCCGGGAGACAAATTCTGGATGTTGTTGTTATAGATTCAGCTTCTCGGAACAATTTCCAAGTAGCACGGGCTATGGTGAGCCCGTAGTGGACTTACCTGGCGCAGGAGCGGTGCTCAAATTCTGGACGTATCTAGACAGATATACGTGTCCGTGTACACCTCACTCTGCGAGTCACCTAACCCCCTTAATTAACCGTAGCGAGCTCCCAAGGATAGGGTGAGGTGACTTGCCTGACTCCGGGTTCTAGCTGTACGCTAGATCTTCCATCTGGCTCAACTGCAGCCACCCAGACCCAAGTCCCACGGCTGGCGACGACAACTGCAGACACCAAGACGGACGACGACAACTGCAGACACCAAGACGGACGACGACAACTGCAGACACCAAGACGGACGACGACAACTGCAGACACCAAGACGGACGCTCCACGGACGACGACAACTGCAGACACCAAGACGGACGACGACAACTGCAGACACCAAGACGGACGCTCCACGGACGACGACAACTGCAGACACCAAGACGGACGACGACAACTGCAGACACCAAGACGGACGACGACAACTGCAGACACCAAGACGGACGCTCCACGGACAACGACAACTGCAGACACCAAGACGGACGACGACAACTGCAGACACCAAGACGGACGACGACAACTGCAGACACCAAGACGGACGCTCCATGGACGACGACATATGCAGACACCAAGACGGACAACGACAACTGCAGACACCAAGACGGACGCTCCACGGACGACGACATCTGCAGACACCAAGACGGACAACGACAACTGCAGACACCAAGACGGACAACGACAACTGCAGACACCAAGACGGACGCTCCACGGACGACGACATATGCAGACACCAAGACGGACAACGACAACTGCAGACACCAAGACGGACGACGACAACTGCAGACACCAAGACGGACGACGACAACTGCAGACACCAAGACGGACGGTCGACGACAACTGCAGACACCAAGACGGACAACGACAACTGCAGACACCAAGACGGACAACGACAACTGCAGACACCAAGACGGACGACGACAACTGCAGACACCAAGACGGACGGTCGACGACAACTGCAGACACCAAGACGGACAACGACAACTGCAGACACCAAGACGGACGACGACAACTGCAGACACCAAGACGGACGACGACAACTGCAGACACCAAGACGGACGACAACAACTGCAGACACCAAGACGGACGACAACAACTGCAGACAGCAAGACGGACGACGACAACTGCAGACACGAACACGGACGGTCGACGACAACTACGGACACCCAGACGACGCCGACAGCGGTACACAACACAAAAGAAACAGGAATACTGGCGACACAAGACGAAGAGGACTACGCATCTTCAGAGGAGCATGTGGACGATGAGGATCTCTCCGGCGAAGATGAGTGTGGCTCCTAAGATGCAGTCTCGACGTCTCATCGGGTCCGAACGCCCTGTTTGAGGGTCACGATGTACCCGGCATTTAGGACACAACCACAGGTCAATACACCGCATTCAGAAATGACCAGAAGATCACCATCGACTGACCGCGGAATATCGTCGAGGCTCTCCCACGATACCCTACACTGTCGCCCGAGGACACCCAGGTACACACACGAAGCCAACACAAGAAACTGAAGAACAGGACAAAATAGAACCCTGGGGGCCCCCCTGAGACAGTGATGCTGTAGTGGAATATCAGATATGGACAGATATGGATTCTGCTATCTATCCAAAAATCCTCGCCCAGTTGCTGGGTTGAGCCCTGGCTCTACTCTCTGCGACGTCGAAGCTTTCTCTCCTGACTATACGTCCGACAGTCCCACTTTCCAGACCCTATTCATCCACAGATCTACAGTATCAGCTACTGGTAATGACTTCAAACGGTTTCCACTCACGGGCTATACATGCCCGTGCCACCTTTAGGGTGGCTTAATCTTTATCAATTAATCATCTTCCATCTTTCCTCTAGATCAGTGGAGGACCATCGTACTGCTGTATGCTCGAATTCGAATTCATCTGGATGTTGATTACTGGTGTCGACTCCCAAATGAACACGACCTCACGCGTACGAAGCCGCCTATGATCGTCGGTGTGTGTGATTGTTGTCGTATCTTTCACTATGTCTTGGCGATTCAGGATTGTGTTGTGATGTTGAGAATGACAACACCATGTTGCCGTTCAACATGGTATTGTGAGATCTAGTTCCATCAGCTCATGTTCATAGCCCAACACTCTTAGCTCTGGCACTAATCTTGTTGCAACCATTCTACGTTTTCAATTTTGGCTTTATGTTTCACAAGGTGCAGATTCCATACCGGAGATGCGTATTCCAGTCTTGGCCGAACCAATGTTTTGTTGGCTGTTTGGAAAGAGTCCTGATTCAGGTTTCTAAAAAATGTTGTTATATTTGTGTGCAACTTAAATGCTACATATGTTATCCTGTTTATGTGTTCCTCCGGTGAGAGTGTTGGAATTATATCCACTCCCAGAATCTTCTTTCTTTCTGGTTCCTGTAGCTGCTTTTTCCGTATGGTGAAGATGCCTTCTGGCCTCCTCTCTCCTTTTCCTTTCCTCATTTGTTTACATTTGTTGGGACTGAACTCCAGCAGCCATTATCGGACCACTCTTGGAGATTGTCAAGGTTCTCCTGAGTTTTTTTGTCACAAAGTCAATCCTCTCAAATATGCTCCACAAGTCTGTACCTGATTATTTTATCTAGCTTTTTTGAATGAATACTTGTCAATGGCACCAGTCTTAGTTTAGTGCCTCCTTTCTATCCTCTTTTTAATACTGAGACAATGTTTGTCTTTTTTTCCAGACATCTGGAAGGCTTCCTGTCTTAAGGGTTTTATTAAAAATGTTAGACAATGGGTGGCAGCATTTCATCAACCTCCCTTAGCAGCCATGGGAAAATTAGGTCTGGCCCCATTGATGGGACAACGTCTAGTTTCCCCAGGACCTCCTTCACCCTTTCCACCGTGACTACAAAGTCATCCAGTATTTCCTCTGGCTTTCCATCTTGCAACCTTGGTTTCCACGATGGCTCTAACGTAAAGACCTCCTGAGATCTTTAGTTAAGTTCCTCACATACCTCCTTGTGTGAGAGTCCTTGTCAAAGGTATTGATTGTGAGTCCTCATAAAATACATCGTATGTGGAAGTCGTTGTGAGAGCCACTGAGGGAGTCGTTGTGAGAGTCATTGAGGGAGTCGTTGTGAGAGCCACTGAGGGAGTCGTTGTGAGAGTCATTGAGGGAGTCGTTGTGAGAGCCATTGAGGGAGTCGTTGTGAGAGCCACTGAGGGAGTCGTTGTGAGAGCCACTGAGGGAGTCGTTGTGAGAGCCACTGAGGGAGTCGTTGTGAGAGCCACTGAGGGAGTCGTTGTGAGAGCCACTGAGGGAGTCGTTGTGAGAGTCATTGAGGGAGTCGTTGTGAGAGCCACTGTGGGAGTCGTTGTGAGAGCCACTAAGGGAGTCGTTGTGAGAGCCACTAAGGGAGTCGTTGTGAGAGCCACTAAGGGAGTCGTTGTGAGAGCCACTAAGGGAGTCGTTGTGAGAGCCACTAAGGGAGTCGTTGTGAGAGCCACTAAGGGAGTCGTTGTGAGAGCTATTGAGAGAGTCTTCCTGAGATCCATCGAGGGAGTTCCTGTGAGAGTTATTATAGGAGTTACATTCTGCTGCTGCTGCTTCCAAGGCCAATTTCAGAAATGTTTACACACGCACGATGGATCCTTCATATTTGTTTCAATCTCGCGAGAAAACGGCTCCTCTGTGGTGTAAAGGAAGGGATCTAAGGCAGCCAAGACGCTTTAAGATATGCTACTCTCAGACCCTGGGATTACACAGTAAGCCTGCGGGGGGATTACAGTGGAAAATCATAATGAGGTGCACGCAGGTATGAGTCTGCTGTGGAAGAACACACACACACACACACATATATATATATATATATATGTCGTACCTAGTAGCCAGAACGTCGTACTCGGCCTGCTATGCAAGGCCCGATTTGCCTAATAAGCCAAGTTTTCCTGAATTAATATATTTTCTCTAATTTTTTTTCTTATGAAATGATAAAGCTACCCATTTCATTATGTATGAGGTCAACTTTTTTTTATTGGAGTAAAAATTAACGTAGATATATGACCGAACCTAACCAACCCTACCTAACCTAACCTAACCTATCTTTATAGGTTAGGTTAGGTTAGGTAGCCGAAAAAGTTGGGTTAGGTTAGGTTAGGTAGGTTAGATAGTCGAAAAACAATTATTTCATGAAAACTTGGCTTATTAGGCAAATCGGGCCTTGCATAGTAGGCTGAGTACGACGTTCTGACTACTAGGTACAACACATATATATATATATATATATATATATATATATATATATATATATATATATATATATATATATATATATATATATATATATATATATATATATATATATATATATATATATATATATAACCTCTACTGACTCTCCCACAAAATCTGCATGATCTTTCACGCATACAATGTAATATTTTGAAGCATTGAAAACTTCTGAAAACGCCATGGAAAACAAAACCCCCAATTTGAAAACCATAAACCTTGCAAGAGTCGCTATTCTAACCGATATTTTTTTAAAACGACATTAGGGCCGACCTCGACTTTCTCTGCCACACCCCCCCCCCCCAAACACACACCGAAACTACGACGTTGGTACAACGTTCGAACAAGATTTAACACCACCTAACCAGTTATAACAACCAATATAGCAAGTTGTAACAACGTTCTAATACGTCATAAACACGTTAAGCCAAGATGTAACAACGTTATTACAAGTTGTAACAAGCGGAAAATAGAGACAGTTTCGGTTTGTGTTTCCAGGGCCATACCTTCCTTGTGTGTCATTTTAAAAACTTGGTTGACCTTAGCCCCAAGCATCTGACCCACTTTCGATAGATAAAAATAGAGAAAGATAGACATTCCATTCTACTGCTATACATAGATGTGTATAAGCTCGTGTTCGGGATTGTGATCTAAACTAATAACGTAGATTAATTAAATTCCAAGCATTCTGCGTGGCAATAAGCCGCCTGATCGCTGCCACCTGCAACTCATTTGAATAATAATAATGTGTTCTGTATACTATTTGTGTGGCCCCCGCCTGGAGTGCCGGGCCCTCACGGCAGGGAGGGTCAGAGTGGCACTCTCCTCTCACTCACTGGCACTCTTATCTGTCGTGTTCTAGGAGAGACATAGAGGCAGTACTGAGGTACCTGAAGCAGCCTAGCCCAGTCCTCGCTGCTGTCTCTCCTACACACCTGCACATCACCTTTACACCTGCACATCACCTACACAACTGCAGATCACTTTCACACCTGCACATCACCTACACACTCGCACATCACCTTTACACCTGAACATCACCTACACACCTGCACATCACCTACACACTTGCACATCTCCTTCACACCTGCACATCACCTACACACCTGCACATCACCTACACACCTGCACATCACCTACACAACTGCACATTACCTACACAGCTGCACATCACCTACACAACTGCACATCACCTACACAACTGCACATCACCTACAAACCTGCACATCACCTACACAACTGCACATCACTTTCACACCTGCACATCAACAACACACCTGCACATCTCCATCACACCTGCACATCACCTACACACCTGCACATCTCCTACACACCTGCAAATCACCTACAAACCTGCACATAACCTTCACACCTGCACATCATCTACACACCTGCACATCACTTACACACTTGCACATCACCTTCACACTTGCGCATGACCTTCACATCACCTACACACCTTCAAATCACCAACAAACCTGCACATCACCTTCACACCTGCACATCACCTACACAACTGCACATCACATACACACCTGCACATCCCTTACACACCTGCACATCACCTTCACACCTGCACATCACCTACACAACTGCACATCACATACACACCTGCACATCCCTTACACACCTGCACATCACCTTCACACCTGCACATCCCTTACCTGCACTTCATCTTCACACCTGCACATCACTTTTACACCTGCACACCTGCACATCACCATCACACCTGCACATCACTTTTACACCTGCACATCATCGTCACACCTGCACATCCCTTACACACCTGCACATCACCTACACATCACCTTCACACCTGCACATCCCTTACACACCTGCACATCCCTTACACACCTACACATCACCTTCACACCTGCACATCCCTTACACACCTGCACATCACCAATGGACCTAGAATGTGTCTTGGGCTGCCAGATGTACAATGAGTGCAAAACATCATCATCGTTCTCTTTGGTAATTTTATAATGACATGTAAAGGTAAATATTAATTTCTTCACGTTATTTATTCAGCAGCTTTGATATAAATCCCCGTCCCCCGTCCCCTGTCCCCTGTCCCCCGTCCCCCGTCCCTCGTCCACTGTCCCCCGTCCCCCGTCCCCTGTCCCCCGTCCCCCGTCCCCTGTCCCCTGTCCCCTGTCCCCCGTCCCCCGTCCCCGTCCCCTGTCCCGTGTCCCCCGTCCCCCGTCCCCTGTCCCCTGTCCCCCGTCCCCCGTCCCTCGTCCACTGTCCCCCGTCCCCCGTCCCCTGTCCCCCGTCCCCCGTCCCCTGTCCCCCGTCCCTCGTCCCTCGTCCACTGTCCCCCGTCCCCCGTCCCCTGTCCCCCGTCCCCCGTCCCCTGTCCCCTGTCCCCCGTGCCCCGTCCCCCGTCCCCTGTCCCCCGTCCCCCGTCCCCCGTCCCCTGTCCCCTGTCCCCCGTCCCCCGTCCCTCGTCCACTGTCCCCCGTCTCCCCGTCCACCGTCCCCCGTTCCCGGTCCACCGTCCCCCGTCCACTGTCCCCCGTCTCCCCGTCCACCGTCCCCCGTCCCCCGTCCCTCGTCCACTGTCCCCCGTCTCCCCGTCCACCGTCCACCGTCTCCCGTCCCCCGTCCACTGTCCCCCGTCCACCGTCCCTCGTCCCCGGTCCACTGTCCCCCGTCTCCCTGTCCACCGTCGACCGTCCCCCGTACCCGTCCATCGTCCCCCGTCCACCGTCTCTCGTCCCCCGTCCACCGTCCCCATCCACTGTCCACCGTCCACCGTCCCCCGTCCACCGTCCCCCGTCCACCGTCCCCCGTCCACCGTCCCTCGTCCACCGTCCCCCGTCCACTGTCTCCCGTCTCCCGTCCCCCGTCCACCGTCCCTCGTCCACTATCCCCCGTCTACCGTCCACCGTCCCCGGTCCACCGTCCCCCGTCCACCGTCCACCGTTCACCCTCCCCGTCCCCCGTCCACCGTTCCCCGTCCACCATCCCCTGTCCATTGTTTCCCGTCTCCCATCCCCAGTTCCCCGTCCCCCGTCCCCCGTCCACCGTTCCCCGTCTCCCGTTCCCTGTCCCCTGTACCCCGTCCCCCTTCCCCTGTCCACCGTCGACCGTCCCCCGTACCCGTCCATCGTCCCCCGTCCACCGTCTCTCGTCCCCCGTCCACCGTCCCCATCCACCGTCCACCGTCTCCCGTCTCCCGTCCCCCGTCCACCGTCCCTCGTCCACCGTCCCCCGTCCCCCGTCCACTATCCCCCGTCTACCGTCCACCGTCCCCCGTTCACCGTCCACCGTAAACTGTCTCCCGTCTCCCGTCCCCCGTCCACCGTCCACCGTCCACCGTCCACGGTCCACTGTCTCCCGTCTCCAGTCCCCCGTCTCCCGTCCCCCATTCACCGTCCCCCGTCCCCCGTCCACCGTCCCCCGTCCCCCGTCCACCGTCCACTGTCTCCCGTCCTCCGTCCATCGTCCCCCGTTCACCGTCCACCGTCCACTGTCTCCCGTCTCCCGTCCCCCGTCCACTGTCTCCCGTCTTCCGTCTCCCGTCCCCCGTCCAATGTCCCCCGTCCACCGTCCCCCGTCTCCCGTCCACCGTCCACTGTCTCCCGACTCCCGTCCACCGTCCCTCGTCCCCCGTCCACCGTCCCCCGTCCACCGTCCCCCGTCCACCGTCCACCGTTCCCCCTCCCCGTCCCCCGTCCACTGTTCCCCGTCCACCATCCCCTGTCCATTGTTTCCCGTCTCCCATCCCCAGTTCCCCGTCCCCCGTCCACCGTTCCCCGTCTCCCGTTCCCTGTCCCCTGTACCCCGTCCCCCTTCCCCTGTCCCCCATCCACCGTCCCCCGTCCACCGTCCCCCGTCCATCGTCCCCCATCCACCGTCCATTGTCCCCCGTCCACCGTCCCCCGTCCACCGTCCCCCGTCCACCGTCTCCCGTCCATCGTCCCCCATCCACCGTCCATTGTCCCCCGTCCAACCGTCCCCCGTCCATCGTCTCCCGTCCATCGTCCCCCGTCCACCGTCCGTTGTCCCACGTTCACCGTCCACCGTCCCCCGTCCCCCGTCCACCGTCCGCCGTTCACCTTCCACCGTCCTCCATCCACCGTCCACAGTCCACCGTCCCCCGTCCACTGTCCACCGTCCCCTGTCCACCGTTCCCGTCCTCCGTTCCCCGTCCCCTGTCCACCGATCCCCCGTCCACCGTCCTCCATCCACCGTCCACTGTCCACCGTCCCCCATCCACCGTCCACTGTGCACCGTTCCCCGTCCACCCGGCCCCCGTCCCCCGGCCCCCGTCCCCCCTCCACCGTCCCCCCTCCACCGTCCCCCGTCCCAAATCATTATCCTGATCCCTTGCAAGTGATATATTATCGTAATTGCCTGCATATGGCGCTTTCTCCTGATATGTCCCCTCCCTTGTACTTAATGTACTAACCTAATTCTGCTTGCTGGAGTTGAGCTCTGGCTCTTTGGTCCCGCCTCTCATCTGTCAATCAACTAGTGTACAGATTCCTGAGCCTATTGGGCTCTATCATATCTACATTTGAAACTGAGAATGGAGTCAGCCTCCACAACATGACTGCCTAATGCATTCCATTTACTAACTACTCTGACTCTGAAAAAACTCTTTCTAACGTCCCTTTGGTTCATTTGGGTACTCAGTTTCCACCTGTGTTCCTATCTCCCCTTACTCTTCTGTCTTCCAGCGTTGTAAGGTGCAGTCCACGCAGCCTTTCCTCGTAACTCATGCCTCTTAGTTCTGGGACTAGCCTAGTGGCATACCTCTGAACTTTCTCCAGCTTCTTGTGATTGACAAATAATGAGCTCCATGCTAGGGCCACATACTCCAGGATTGGTCTTGCATATGTGATATACAAGATTCTGAATGTGTCCTTGCTCAAGTTCCTGAAGGTAGTTCTGATGTTAGCCAGCCTCGCATACGCCGCAGATGTTATTCTGTTTGCTTCAGGATACAGGGTTGGCGTGAATATGAACTCCTAGAGCTTTCTCTCCGTCCGTTTCAAGAAGCACTTCATCTCCAATTCTGAATCCTGTGTCTGGCCTCCCGTTTCCACCGCCTATTTTCATTACCTTCCATTTACTCGGGTTGAACTTTAGCAGACATTAGTTGGACTGTCTAGGTTTTCTTGTAGCCTCATTCTATCTTCTCTGTCTTAATCCTCCTTATAATTTTTGCATCATCAGCAAACATTGAGAGAGACAATTCTATACCCTCTGGGAGATAGATCATTTATATATATCAGAAACAATATAGGTCCAAGGACTGACCCCTGCGGGACTCCACTGGTGACGCCTCGCCAATCTGAAACCTCACCTCGCACAGTGACTTGCTGTTTTCTGTTGCTTAGATACTCCCTTATCCAATGGAGCACCTTCCGTTTCACTCGTGCCTGCATCTCCAGCTTGTGCACTAGTCTCTGGTGTAGCACTGTGTCAAAGGCTTTCTGGCAATCAAAGAATATTCACTCGGCCCATCCCTCTTATTCTTGCCTGGTTTGTGTTGCCGGCGCTTATTGCCGGAGCTAAGATATATAATGTGTTTGTGTACGTGTCCCTATGTCTTTACCTTCATGTACTCACAAGGGAACTTTCAGCTCCTGTTCCCTACTTTTCAACTGGTCGTTGCCAATTACACTGCCTTCCAATTACCTTCATATCATGTTAACAGTTGAAACTATGTATTGTATGGCGTTAACTGCATCTACCTTACCTTGCAGTTCAGTCCCCTCGTACCCACTTGCTCTGAAGGAGCGCCATCTTGTTCTCTCACGACTCACCAGAGTCTCTGATATCCACACGTGTCCGTTCCTCCGCCTCCTCCTCTTCCTGTTAAACATGTCGGTTGTATCTGTTTTGCCTCGAAAAAACTTATGCAGTAAAAAGTAATCATGGACGTTACTTTGGCCCTTGTTGCAGCGTCTCGCAGGTGTCTGAGGGGAAGGCCATTGTGGGCCTTTTTTCTTGAGTAAATAAGGTGGAGAGCTGCAGATGATGAAGAAAGTGTTGGAAATGTGGAGTAAAGTGATTTATGATAGCAGACGGGCTGTCCGTCGTGCTGCCATGATGAATGATTGCTGGTCCCTGGGCTAAGCTTGCTCACACAGTTGTGTTTGTAAGGTGTGTTTCTGTGTTTTACATATATGGGTGTTTAATGATGAATACTGTGCAGCATTCACTCATACATACTCAGTTTATTATGCAACTTTTTTTTTGAGGGGGGGGGGAGGAGGGTTTATCGGTATTTCCTCTTGGAATTATGAATTTTGGGGCTTGGTTTCCATTGAGTAGATCGAGGCTCTTGGGCCACCAGCTGTGTGGGTGGGGCGTCTCATCTTGGGCCACCAGCTGTGTGGGTGGGCGTCTCATCTTGGGCCACCAGCTGTGGGAGTGGGGTGTCTCATCTTGGGCCACCAGCTGTGGGGGTGGGGCGTCTCATCTTGGGCCACCAGCTGTGTGGGTGGGGCGTCTCATCTTGGGCCACCAGCTGTAGGGGTGGGTGTCTCATCTTGGGCCACCAGCTGTAGGGGTGGGTGTTTCATCTTGGGCCACCAGCTGTGGGAGCGGGGCGTCTCATCTTGGGCCACCAGCTGTGGGAGTGGGGTGTCTCATCTTGGGCCACCAGCTGTAGGGGTGGGTGTCTCATCTTGGGCCACCAGCTGTAGGGGTGGGTGTTTCATCTTGGGCCACCAGCTGTGGGCGTGGGGCGTCTCATCTTGGGCCACCAGCTGTGGAGGTGGGGTGTCTCATCTTGGGCCACCAGCTGTGGGGGTGGGGCGTCTCATCTTGGGCCACCAGCTGTAGGGGTGGGTGTCTCATCTTGGGCCACCAGCTGTGGGGGTGGGGCGTCTCATCTTGGGCCACCAGCTGTAGGGGTGGGTGTCTCATCTTGGGCCACCAGCTGTGGGAGTGGGGCGTCTCATCTTGGGCCACCAGCTGTGGGGGTGGGGTGTCTCATCTTGGGCCACCAGCTGTGGGGGTGGGGTGTCTCATCTTGGGCCACCAGCTGTGGGGGTGGGGTGTCTCTTCTTGGGCCACCAGCTGTGGGGTTGGGGTGTCTCTTCTTGGGCCACCAGCTGTAGGGGTGGGTGTCTCATCTTGGGCCACCAGCTGTGGGGGTGGGGTGTCTCTTCTTGAGCCACCAGCTGTGGGAGTGGGGTGTCTCATCTTGGGCCACCACCTGTGGGAGTGGGGTGTCTCTTCTTGGGCCACCAGCTGTAGGGGTGGGCGTCTCATCTTGGGCCACCAGCTGTAGGGGTGGGCGTCTCATCTTGGGCCACCAGCTGTGGGAGTGGGGTGTCTCATCTTGGGCCACCAGCTGTGACAGTGGGGTGTCTCATCTTGGGCCACCAGCTGTGGGAGTGGGGCGTCTCTTCTTGGGCCACCAGCTGTAGGGGTGGGCGTCTCATCTTGGGCCACCAGCTGTGGGAGTGGGGCGTCTCATCTTGGGCCACCAGCTGTGGGGGTGGGGTGTCTCTTCTTGGGCCACCAGCTGTAGGGGTGGGTGTCTCATCTTGGGTCACCAGCTGTGGGAGTGGGGCGTCTCATCTTGGGCCACCAGCTGTGGGAGTGGGGTGGCTCCTCTTGGGCCACCAGCTGTAGGGGTGGGTGTCTCATCTTGGGCCACCACCTGTGGGAGTGGGGTGTCTCTTCTTGGGCCACCAGCTGTAGGGGTGGGCGTCTCATCTTGGGCCACCAGCTGTGGGGGTGGGGCGTCTCATCTTGGGCCACCAGCTGTGGGAGTGGGGTGTCTCATCTTGGGCCACCAGCTGTGACAGTGGGGTGTCTCATCTTGGGCCACCAGCTGTGGGAGTGGGGCGTCTCTTCTTGGGCCACCAGCTGTGGGAGTGGGGCGTCTCTTCTTGGGCCACCAGCTGTGGGGGTGGGGCGTCTCATCTTGGGCCACCAGCTGTGGGAGTGGGGCGTCTCATCTTGGGCCACCAGCTGTGGGGGTGGGGTGTCTCTTCTTGGGCCAACAGCTGTAGGGGTGGGCGTCTCATCTTGGGTCACCAGCTGTGGGAGTGGGGCGTCTCATCTTGGGCCACCAGCTGTGGGAGTGGGGTGTCTCTTCTTGGGCCACCAGCTGTAGGGGTGGGTGTCTCATCTTGGGCCACCAGCTGTGGGGGTGGGGTGTCTCTTCTTGGGCCACCAGCTGTGGGGGTGGGGTGTCTCATCTTGGGCCACCAGCTGTGGGGGTGGGGTGTCTCTTCTTTGGCCACCAGCTGTAGGGGTGGGTGTCTCATCTTGGGCCACCAGCTGTGGGGGTGGGGTGTCTCATCTTGGGCCACCAGCTGTAGGGTGGGGTGTCTCATCTTGGGCCACCAGCTGTGGGAGTGGGGCGTCTCATCTTGGGCCACCAGCTGTGGGAGTGAGGTGTCTCATCTTGGGCCACCAGCTGTAGGGGTGGGTGTCTCATCTTGGGCCACCAGCTGTGGGGGTGGGGTGTCTCATCTTGGGCCACCAGCTGTAGGGGTGGGTGTCTCATCTTGGGCCACCAGCTGTGGGAGTGGGGCGTCTCATCTTGGGCCACCAGCTGTGGGAGTGGGGTGTCTCATCTTGGGCCACCAGCTGTAGGGGTGGGTGTCTCATCTTGGGCCACCAGCTGTGGGAGTGGGGTGTCTCATCTTGGGCCACCAGCTGTAGGGGTGGGTGTCTCATCTTGGGCCACCAGCTGTGGGGGTGGGGTGTCTCTTCTTGGGCCACCAGCTGTGGGAGTGGGGTGTCTCATCTTGGGCCACCAGCTGTGGGGGTGGGGTGTCTCATCTTGGGCCACCAGCTGTGTTGGTGGGGCGTCTCTTCTTGGGCCACCAGCTGTGGGGGTGGGGTGTCTCATCTTGGGCCACCAGCTGTGGGAGTGGGGTGTCTCTTCTTGGGCCACCAGCTGTGGGGGTGGGACGTCTCATTATGGGCCACCAGCTGTGGGGGTGGGATGTCTCATCTTGGACCACCAGCTGTGGGGGTGGGGCGTCTCATCTTGGGCCACCAGCTGTGGGAGCGGGGCGTCTCATCATGGAGTAATCTTTCTAACATTGGGTCTTCTAACATGACAATGGTGTTCCACGCCCTGGTGGCTTAGTGCTGTAGTCTGATGTTCAGTGATTGTGTGTTGAGGGCTTCATAGAGTGGCTTTGAAGCCAGGTAGTAGCTGTTGAGGAGGAGGTGGGATGGGTGTGGGCGGGGTCGTGTGGGATGTTATAGAGTAGGGTGCTGGGGGTCGAGTGATGGTCTGTCGGTTTGTATTGTGGGGTGAAGGGTTGTTTGTCGGTTATAGCTGTGGGTGGGGTTGTGTGTGGTGGGATTGGACGGGTGGGTGTGCGGGGAGGGGGGGTTTGGGGGGGGAATCTTGAGGTTGTTGTGAGGGGCAACAATCAGTGCACAATAAAGAGATCCTGAAATTGTTGGTTCCTGGAGATCACCAACAATCAGAGAGAGTGTGAGGCTACACAGTCACCAGCTACGACGTCTGGCTTATTCAGTACTTATTACAAAAAGTACTTAATGAGCAGTCTGAAAATGGTTCCTAAATTTATCATCTGGCCTGGACCAATTGTCAGCTTAGCGCGGCCCTGCAAAGACTTGCACTCCTCTTACGATGTCACAACACGATGTCCCTGACTTCCACATATGCTGAGATATATTTTAATATCCTTACAAACACACCTGAGCTCTCTGGCTACAGAGCGCGAACTTAGCGACCAACCACACACACACACATGGTGTCAGCGAGGCGGGCAGCACGCAAGGTATCATAACTAACACTATATTCCATATTTATGTAAGTTTTGCAGCACATGTCTCTCTCTCCGTCCTAGTTACTCTCCCTCCGTCTTACTGCCCCCCCCCATCATAAAATCCCACTCCTCTCACCAAAAAAAACAAAAAACAATATGTCGTACGTCAGGTCCGCGTCACCACACGCCAATTGAAGGCTTCTCGGGAAGTATTGATGATCCAGCTTAAAACTTTGAGACGACGATAGTGCTATTCTGCCACTACCAGCACCCCCCCCCCCCCCCCCCCGCCCTCCCCTTCACTGTGATATTGTTCCACTAAACGCCCCAACACAGCGACCTCTCGGCCATGTTGGGAATGATACGCATAATACTTTGCCGTGTGTGTTCGACGTCTGTAGTTACGGAACGAGACCCAACTCTGTAATAACAGCACAACTGCTGTTGCTTTAAGAGCCAAAATATGTCCGAAAGCTGGTGCATACTATATCGTCCTAGTTACATCTTCATCACTGGCAGTATCAGGAAATGACATCAAACTTACGTCATTGCAAGCGGGTGACTCCAGCTATGACGTCAGCCAAACATCAATATTCTGAAGCATTATCTACCAATAAACGCAGAGAACATTATCGATCACACAGGCAGTGACGTCCTCGTTCCGTCACCGTAAAAGTCACAAGATCTAATGACGTCTGCAAATTTTCTGGCGACCAGCTTTACCACGGTTGATGTCTGTGTAGTCCGCTCTATTGGTCCACACAGGCGGAGATGCGTATATCCGGCGGGAGAAGTAGCTTATAACATTTACTAGGGTGATAAATGTCGGGGGCAGTTCCATTGGATTTGTAACTTTGCTGTGTTAGGTAAAGTTCCATGATCAGACTGATGTTTCTCTATAATGCAGTCTCCGTGGTGTAGTGGTAAGACACTCGCCTGGCGTTCCGCGAGCGCTATGTCATGGGTTCGTATCCTGGCCGGGGAGGATTTACTGGGCGCAATTCCTTAACTGTAGCCTCTGTTTAACGCAACAGTAAAATGTGTACTTGGATGAAAAAACGATTCTTCGCGGCAGGGGATCATATTCCAGGGACCTGCCCGAAACGCTACGCGTACTAGTGGCTGTACAAGAATGTAACAACTCTTGTATATTTCTCTCAAAAAACAAAAAAAAAAAAAAAATGCTGACATTTGTACTCTTCTTCTGGAACCTGGAAG